TTTTTTTGTAGGGAAAGTAAAGGAAGCCTTGAATGCATACCAACAAGCCATCCAACTGAACAACAATCACTCAGTAGCTTACGTTAATATGGGACGATTGTTTAAAAGTGCTGGACAAGCGCAACAAGCGGAAAAGGCCTATAAAACGTAAGAATTACTTTTTCTTTAGCTGTAAAAAATTCATCTTTCGTATGATGATGATGGACGATGGATATCGTCCGAAATATCTACTCAAGAAACTTCTAGTTATTCTTTTCGTTTATAAACTTTTAGCCCAAAGAAACATATTCACATCTTTCGTATGTGGAAAAACCAAAAAACCATGGCACACCGCACAGTCACAGTACGTAATTGATGACAACCTTTTAGCCAATCACAACAAGACAAGGTGTCTGGTCAGCCAATCAGAATTATATAGCAGAGATATTGGATTTTAATTTGGCGTGGTTGTATTTGAATCTTATCTAGAGCTTTGTCCATCAAGCGAGAAGAGAGCACTTTACAATTACTCGGTGTGTTGTATTACAATCAAGACAGACTAGTAGATGCCGAGATGGCCTGGGGTGAGACACTGAAGATGAATCCTGCTAATGATGAGACTTTGTCGAATATGGTATGAGATAATATTAATTATCATTTGTCACCATTTGTATCATTATGATAATCGTTGAATAACTTCATCATTGCGTTCATTATAATCATCATCGTCATCTTCACCGTCATTTATCATCACAGTCACCATCATCATCATCACCACTACCATCATAATTATTAGCATCAACATCACCAACCATCATCAGTATCAGCATTACCATCACAAACGTTACCATTATCATCACTTGTAGCACCACCATCATCTTCATCCCCATCATCATCTTCATCAAAAATATCTCATCACCCCCATTATCAGCATCATTATCTTGAGTGGAGACCCGTTAAATGTTAAGACGACTAGATAGGTTAAATAACTTTTTTTCTCTTTGTCTTTTCAAATATTTAACTATTTGACGTACGCTTGTAATGATTTTAGGGAATATTAATGAGCAAATTAGGACGCCATGGCGAAGCTGTGCGATTAGCAAAGAAGGCTTTACAACATAACCCAAACCATGCTGATCACTACAAAAACGTTGCCTCTTCATTGGAACAGGCAGGGAAGATAGGAGAGGTAAAAAACTATCGGCGATTGTTGTGAATGATTAAGAATTGCCCTAATTCACTATGACGTCACATCAAAACAATCTATTGTTTAAACGCAACGGATCATGGTCGTCAGAGGGGGTCAGATCAACGCAAATTCACCGAAAATTGTTGTAAAACCCGTATCAATCCACGAAGAGAAGTAGAATAGCCAGCAAACTCTCAGAATATTTTTTAGTACATAATAACACATATTATATCTGAAAACCAGGCCATTTTAGATTAAACTGTTTTGCTAGGAGCAAATTTTGTTGAATTTTCTATTGGAATTGGCGATTCCATCCCCACATAAACAAGCAGTGACGTCATAGTGAAATAGGGCAATTCAGGAGTTGATTTTTGCGGAGAGAGGAAAGCCGGAGGAAAAACCCTGAAAGAAAAGATTAAAATCAACAAGCAACTCCCCTTTAAAAGATACTGTGGCGGAAAAAACGGAACATTTTCTAAACTAGAATTTATACAGTCATAAGGAAACTCATAAATTCTTCTTTTGGTTGATACAGGCAATTGACGTCATATCTTTGGCACTGAAGAAGTTCAAAACCGCTGACCTCTACTTTCACCATGGCAACCTATTAAAAGACCTTAACAATATGAACGACGCAAAACAGGTTTGTCTCTTGTGTGTTAAATTTTGTGTGTTGGAATTCTTGTGGTATTTAAAGGAGCACATATTGCAAAGTTGATGACAACACGCAGCACGTTATAAAACGCTACCTGTTTACCCAATCAGAATGCATGGACACAATAGTGTCACGGTCACGGTCATGAATGATGACAACACGCAGTACGTTGCAGCACGTTACCTGTTTACCCAATCAGAATGCTTGGAACTTCACTTTCACGGTCACGGTCATGAATGATGACAACACGCAGTACGTTGCAGCAAGTTACCTGTTTACCCAATCAGAATGCATGGACACAATAGTGTCACGGTCATGAATGATGACAACACGCAGTACGTTGCARCACGTTACCTGTTTACCCAATCAGAGTGCTTGGAACTGCACATTCAAGGTCACGGCACGCAAAAATGGCGAATTGTGCCCCACCTTTTCCAATTATTTTTGTACAGCTAAGGCCCTGTAAACCACGTCTCCTCGGCTTCCGATGTARGCAAACGCTAGTATTGAAGTTCTTTCTTTTGTTTTGTTTGTAGGATTTCTTGAAGGCAGTAGAGCTTGATCCAAAGCATGCAACTGCGCACATGCACCTAGGAGTCATACTTCATATGGAGGTAAGGGAATGAACTAAAAATTTCTACCATCCTTGCGCACGCAGTCAGTGCTCTCATAATGCACGGGCAACCAACTAATTAGAAAGCAATATTAATGACTGTTATTTTATAATACACACCTAAAACTTACCTCTGAAACTCGAAACTTGTCTCGGGACAAGAAAAACCTCTAGAGTAGCACCTGTAAACTAACGCTTACATTTGCCTTATTCTGCTTAACAGAAAAACTATCCCGAAGCCCGCAAACACTACGAGAAAGCACTGTCCCTGGAGCCACACAACACTATTTTACAGCAGAACCTGGCTAAACTTAAACGTCTACAAGAAAAACAATCAAAAGGTGGATGAAACCATGGCTGAAATGGAACCCAAGGTACACGTATTCAGGAAATGATAACTAATATCCAGTAATAATAACGGTAAATATTAATAACCGTAAATATTTAGAACGATAAAAATCAATACTGAAAATATTAATGGTAATAATAACTAATTTGTACTATAAATAATTTTTTATAGTGCAAAAAAATTAAATTCATTTTCATAAGAATTTTTAATCGTACTAAACAATATATAATATAAAATAATATTCTTAAATAAATAGTAGATATATAACTTCTACTTCTGCAGTATATAAAACTGTATATTGTAAATATTTTAAACAAACGAGGGATTTGGGATTTGAACCTTAGATGTATATTAACCTTTTTATATTAAAAAGTCTTTTAAACATAGTTTAAACAGTAATTACTTTTAAGGTGTTGTGTCTTGTTGGCAAATCCTCGCTGAGAGAAATATATTACTAGTATTATAAGAGACACGATACGCAGATATTCATCTAGTGACGTCACGAGATTTGATGACGTCATGACGATTCTTAAGCTTGAGCTGAAGAGTGCCACTCTGCGCACCCTACCCCCTATGGGATAAAGAATTCAGGCTTCCCGAACTCCTGTAGCCCGATCTCTTGGGTAAAGGGGATTCACCATCCCCCGGGGATTGGGAGTCCATTGCACCCCACCTCCTACACCCTGCGGTGAGAACAAATACTTTGCTTCTCAAATATGCCGGGTTTAATTCAATTGTAATATTCTAATAGTATTTATTGATGAGCGGTATTCCATTGATTCTTGCATAGTGAAAAGCGATTAGTCTTGATCATAAGTGCCAACCAGAAAGAAAAGATTCGTTGTGATATGATACGTATGTGAGTAAAGTTTTTAGCCAAGGTCTCTACCTTGATTCAAGGGTGTTTTTCCGGGTTCTCCGATTTCCCCCCTCCGCAAAACTTAACACGCAAAATTCCGATTCAATCTGTGAGTTAGCCGTGCCCTGATTTGGATTAGCACGGAGGTTATCAGTTAAAGGTTCAATCTGTGAGTTATCCGTACTCTGTCTTGGATAAGAAATTGTTACAGAATATCGATAAAATTATAATTGCTTTCTAAACGCGACACATGTAGTTTCCTCTCATCCTTCATTTATTTCACATTATTTGAAGTACATTCAACTTCCCACACCTCATAAAATCCTAGATGGGGTTTGACTTTCCAATCTATATCTTTATTTTCAATAAAGTTTATCTCCTGATAATTGTTCATAAGTATGGCTTCAATATTCCTATTGTACGGTAGATTGATCAGTTTGATTACACTTCCTGAGACATACTGTCTGGCTCCCTTTATTACACGGTACGATTCTCGATCTCTGCTGTTGTCAATAAGGAAATAAAGAGTTTGGAATTTATTTCTTAAATAAGGCATATCAGCACTAATGATAGAATCTGTAGAGGCAGATTCCAGTGGTATCGTGTCACGACTCTTAAATGGGTTCCAAATATGACTGGTTCACACCAGAAGCCTTTTGAAAGCAACGCTACTCTTCATTCCAAACAAATTTGTTCTAATTTTATARATATTCAGATATAAATAAATATGGAGCGGATAAAAAACAATATATTTTGATAAATARAAATACATTTTATTATCATGGTTCTAATTAAAGAGATTACTCCAAAAGTGGGTACTTTACTACCAAGTATAATTGATTATGAAGTTAATTAACTACAGTACTTTACTTGTCAGCTGGGCTCAACCGTTCCATTAGCCCATTATTTTTTTCTTCTTAAACTACCTAAGAATATATTTTGATATAAGGACGTTGAAAAATRTTCATTAATATATAATATATTATTAATATATTTCTATATAGTTGAATACTTATTTATTTAACAAACCTTTCTGCTTTGAGAACGGTCGAGGTTCAACCTTTTGAAAAAAATGTGCAAGAGGGAATGCAGTGAGACAAGAAATGGGACATTTTTCTCCCAACGTGAAAAGGTCTTTAGAAAGATGATATTCGTCTGGATCTTAACTTTTCTACTGCAGTTTTTTCAAAAAGTTGAAGTGGCCCTAGTTGAAAAGCTTACTCTCTGACGTGTTTAATAACAATGTCTATATGAGACTTGTCCCTAGCACTAGGATCAATTTACTCTATGCTAAATGGCCATGCCAACACTGGGTCAAGTTTCCATTACAGTGCATTTTGGGACTGTCATAGCGGACAAAATAGACGCCGTCTTGGAAATATGTCTCCTAAAAACCTCCACAATTCACTGCAACGTCAACTCGACCCACTTGGTTTTGTTTTCTTAACCTCGGAATGGCTAATGTAGGTTTTGAATATGGATTTGTAATTAAACTAGGCTGCTGAGTTCATTAGATGTTTCAAATGCGTCACCAGGCGATATTTAAACTTCTATAGGACTGAGAGGCTTTGGGTGTTAATCTTCAAAATAACGAAACAAGGATTTAAGGATTAAGCTGTATTTACCTTTAGTCTCAAACCGATTTTTAGTTGCTTTATTTTGTTTTCATCAATATCCAGGTTAAAAACCCAAAAGATTTTTTGAAAACGAAGGGGGGAGGGGAGGGGATGCTTATCCCCACCCCACACACCCTGTAACTGGCTTAAGGGCTTAAGTCCCCCTACCCTGCCCTGCCCAGCCATGTAGTGCCTTTTACATTACACAGTGCTCTAGTTTATAGTCTTTACCTCCCTATATTCTTTTATATACATCGATATGATATCCAAGAAGGCGCTGTCCAAAGCACCTGTGCGTGCATATTTACACGTCAGGCATATCAGTCCTGGGACCTGACTTTGTTTGTTTGTTGAGTCCCTATTAAAACTTGTTATCTTTCAGTCTAGAATCAACTGTTCTGATAGTTACCTTTAAATATAGTATCAAATGTTCTGGATAGTAAGGATAGTGAATACGGCTCAAGCATTATGACGTTCTATAGAGGGGCTTTGCACCATCACGTGATGGCAGCCATGACAGGAGGCAGGAACAATTGAATACGGCATAATCTGATCTACATGAGAAAAAATTTAGTTTCCCAGGGGAAAGATACCTTATTGTTGTGCCTCCTGTCGTGGCTGCCATCGCGTGTTGGTGTGTTGGTGCAAAGCCTCTATACGTATATTTCCGTAACCCATTTCAGTAGCTGTTTTTGTTATGCTAATTTTCACTATTGTTTTGTATTCTCAAAGTTCTAACATTTGAGTATGAAAAGAGATTTTGAAAAGGATCGTAGAAGATTAGATATGAAAAATCATTAGGGTTAGTGTCTTATCGAGTCATCGTAAGTTTTTGGCTTTTTGCGCATTAGTTGGCTGTTACGTGTTTATGAGTTGACGCTGTGCAGTGAATGAGAACTAGACCGCTATAAATACTCATGTTTATTGTCTAGGAGTTCTCTGGCTTGAATACAACACTCTTGTGGCAAGTGACTTGAACACTCGATATTTATCACCATCCAAATGCATATCAAATACTCCTCAGTGTTCATTGATTTGAAATTTTGAAATCCTCTGGATCAAAATACGATTTCGTCACGATTTGACGCACTTGACTATTCACCTTATTTATTAACAGCACAGCACCACTTATTTCCTCACAGTTAATGATACTTGTCATCGAGATAGTAATCATTGTTTTAATAGTTAAATTGTGCTAATGCAAGAGTAGGAGTAATTTGTTTTCGACGCCTTACTGCACGACTCAAAATACCATCTTTCTGTGTCTTCTTCTGGTTTAAATTCCATTTAAATATAAATATATCGAGCATTAATATTTATCCAAAACTTCAATTCGTGTGGATGCGATGAGGTGAAGAATTGCATGCATAGAGTCATGTCTATCTTATTTCCTTTGGATTTTCTAAAATGATTGGTTGAAGTGGTGTGTGAGAACTGAGGCGTCTGGTACATTCTTTATCATGCTTTCTACGTCAGCTAACTCTAATTTACCGTAGAAGCGTACTTTGTTGTTTTACGCACCACCGACGCGCAGAGTGCTTTAACAATATACTAATGGCAGTTTTGGYATTTTATCATTCATAACTTCGCAAATATGTTCATGTAGTCATCATGTTCTTGGTGCAGTGTTTTCTCATGTAGTTCTATATGAACCGTACACATTAATCCTGTGCGGCTCTTATCGTCTATTAATCACCTTGCACTATCTTTCATCTTTCATCATCACGATTTTTTGTATCTATATGCGAATTTTCAATCCCCATTTCTTTTATCGGATGACAATAATATTGAAGCTATTTTTAATCATCACAATTAAAAATCGTTCAAGCAATAAATTCGTTCTTTGCGGTCACGCGAGAGAGTAGCACTTTTTTACTTTCTTCACTTGCTCGGTTTGTCGGTTTGTTCCAACATAGATAATAAAAGTTTATGTATTTCTTTATGATGGTGGTGTTGATGTGACGATAGATCGTATTGGTCCTACAGTAGTGTCCTCCTTGGCTGATGTACTGACTTCGAGTATCGTGTCGTTTTCCTGGGGGGATGTGGTTGGGTAGCAGAGTTCGAAGTTCTGTAGATCGTAGACTTTAGTGGTCAGAAGTGATCACCTGAATGTATATACGGCTTCACTACCACTTGCCGCATCGCTTCCCTGAGGATGAGTTCGATAGTTATAGTTTATTCTGTTTGTTATGGTCATGTTGATGGCCGTTGCTGTCATGATGATCATATAATCTAGTGGTCAATAGTGATCCCCTGGGTCCTTGACTGAGGTATTGACTGAGCACCGTATTCTCTTCTTCTGAAGGGTACAGTTTGAAGTAGCATCTCTATCCTCGGGGTAGAGTTCGATAGTTATAGTTTACCCTGTTTGTTATGGTCGTGTTGATGGCCGCTGCTGTCATGATGATCATACACTGTGGTCAATAGTGATCCCCTGGGTCCCTGACTGAGGTATTGACTGAGCACCGTATTCCCTTCTCCTGAAGGGTACAGTTTGAAGTAGCATCGTCTGAAAAGCCTCTTGAATGCTCTCCTATATGTACGATTCATGCAGGTATAGATGATGGGGTTGAGGCAGGAATTGAAGTACGCGAGCCATTTGATCACGTTGAATAGAGCGAAGGGTGGTCGGAATGTCGTACTGAAGGCATGGCCAAGAATGACAGTGAAGAATGGCAGCCAACAAACCAAAAACCCACCAATAACCACGGCTATGGTCTTGGCTGCTTTCATCTCATTGGCATGGTTCTTGCCGATTCTCTTGACCTGAGTACGAACCACGAAGAAAATAATCATGTACATGAGAATGACGATGGAAAGAGGAAGAAAGAAGCAGACGACGGAAACGAAGATGAGGAAGCTACGACCAGGCCATTGCGCTGTACGCGCGCACGACACAGAGATAGCGTAGATCCAGACACAAGCGATAACGACCAAAGCTCTTCTGGACGTAACAAGTTTAGGGTATTTAAACGGTACGGTAATAGCCAGCATGCGGTCAACGCTAACGGCGGTTAAGTTCGTGATCGATGCAGTCCCTCCAAGAATATCAATGCAATCCCAGAACATTTTCAAACCCTTTGATAAAACCCATCTGTTCGATGACAGTTGAATTTGCAACCAAAACGGCATGGCTAAGAGAGCCACGAGAATGTCTGCTAAACTCAAACTCACGATGAAGTAGTTGCAAATCGTCCTCAAGTCTGTGAACATATAAAAACTCGCAAATACTAGACCATTGCCAACCAAAGTCATGATAATCAGTAAGCTGACAAAGAAAGCAGCAGCGATGTTTTCACCGCTCGGCGTAAAGGGTTGTATCCCTTGGAGAACCTCGGTGGTATTCGTGATGTTCATTATTTACTCACTAGACAGTCGTAGAGAGATCTTGCTTGACAATGAGTTCTTTCGTACTAAAAGGAAAAACCAAAAACACCGACGTTACATGCATGCAAGCACAATWTCGTCATACAACTGTAATTGCCCTAAGGCAATTACAATCCAAAATAACTCTCCGTTTGTTTAGCACGTTTGAACTTGTTAAATCGTGTACACAGTGGGGTATAACTTTCATGGGATTAAATTTGATATCAAGCTTAGACTTATTATCTTCGTCATTATACTTCGTGGGTTTTTAGTAGAGGCCACAGAAAATCATACTAGAGGCCGTGAGAAAATTATGATAATAAATAATAAGTAATTATACTCGTAGGAAAAGAGGATTATTTTGTTGGCGCTTTTGACTGAAAGAATCGAAGCAGCGGGCAGTTGTTCGGTAAACGTTTAACAAAATAAATTTGTTAATTAAATGAAAATGGGTCCTGACACATGATAGATAGATCATAGAGAGTGGAAAGAAAGTCGGGATCGATCCATCCTTGTAAGGTATCCACTGATCCRTTTCAAACAGTCATTAGCACGTAGCAGGTTAAGTTATTTTTTGTTCTGTACAAAAACAAAAGCTCGTGATCACGATTCACAATTACTCGGTATGTTTGCATATTTAGTTTACTTAGAATAAGGTTTACTTTGTATATAACGCTTCTTAATACCTTGACCGCATAGAAACGTGTCACTAAGAGACGACTCTAAATCATAATAATTTTATTCTAGCGCATTACATAATATCTCAATTCTCTTACGATAAAGAATAAATCAGTAAATAGTGAATAAATGAATAATTGTATATATATATACACTACAATAATAATAATGCATGACTGATTTTTATTGACACATCTTTTATTTAGAAAGGAATGGATTCTGGTATTAATAGAATGCATTTGGTCGCATGACAGGAAGACCAAATGGTTAGAGGGCTGTTGTAAATGTACATTATAGAATACAAAATGGGAATCCAACATGCTCGTTCTAATTGCTGGTCAAACTCACAAAATTTCAAACGCAAATACATACGACAAAGAGAGAGAGAGATATATATATATATAGATACACCTTTATTTGAAAACGATAATTCCATAAATATAAAACTTCCTTACATGGAAGTCGTTAAGAATATGATCAGTAAAATATAAATATATAATCCTAAAAACTGAATTAAAAAATTTTAGAAACAAAGAAATGATTTAAATAACAAAGAGAAAAATCCTACTGAGCACTGGCAGCACGCCATCTCAACAGACGTTTTTTAAATTCATTCTTTGTTGGAGCAGAATTAATTTCAGAGGGGAAAGAGTTCCACATCTTAGCCTCTCTGTAATAGAAGCTACTCCTGAAAAAATCTGTTTTTGGGATGTATCGTACTTCAATTTGATCGCTCCCTCTTAATCTAGATTTAGGAGAGAGAAGTGAAAGAGACCTTTGCATTTCCCTTTTTTTTGCTATTTTTTTCCTGCCTTTATACTATCCAAATGAAAGTTTTCACTAACATACAAGTAATCACTCATTTTGTAAGAAGAGAGAGAAAGAGAGACCAAAAATTGTACAGAACTAAGGATAATTCTATTGCTTTCTGTGCTGGGAACCAGTTTGACAGGTAAAAAAATAGTCCAGAAAAATAACTCGAGAAAAAAAATACTAAATCCATTTATCGACACTAACCTTATATCTTACTAAATACCAAATCCATTATGCGACACTAACCTTATATCTTTGTCTTATTCTTACTTTACGATCCCTTTGGCACTAAAAATATGTTCTTCTTGCACTCATCTGGAATATAGTAGATACCTGTATAGTATAGTTAGAAAAATCTAAGAGAAGAAGTTTCCAGAGACGCGCGCTTTTTCTCGGTGAATTTGTTCGAGGTTATCAAGATTGAACGCAAAATTGTTTTTAAATCTGCTTAAATAGTATCAGTCAAATCTCTCCAAGCGAAATCAAAAACAGATTACCTTTACTTATTGGCTCATTATATCCCTTACGTTCGGTTTTATGAATCCCAGAGATTTGATTTTTTTCATGCTTTGTTTTCGTCTTGCACGGTCGTAAAGAAATGATTGTCTGTTTTCTAGATTTGTTCCAAAGATTGCGGCCCCAAATGCACCGAAATCCAATCAACCACACGACGTTGTATATCTCCCTTTCATTCAAGATTACAGCAATTATTTTCAAAATCACTGAGAACAATGCTGGAAACACTGATGTGACGTTAAACTAAGCATTATTTAACGACATACGACTTTATTGGTTCTTACTGTTCGATTTTCATCTGATTTGAATGCTTTTCCAAATAGATGTTTTGTGATCGGTATATATGTGTTAGAACTAGCCGATGACGTTATTGGGATGGGAATAGTTTTTCAATAGAATACTCTTTCTTAAAGGTATAATACGTCTGTCTAGTGCCTCTTGAGGAGTAATTATCGCCGAGTTGTTGAAATGAGTTGATGTCACAGATGACGCAAATTTAAATGAATTAAACTTAAAATTGGTCATTTCTTTTTTCTCTTTCTTATAGTGCTACTGAGATAATGTTTTCCAATAGTAAAGTAGACCTGCATTCAGCTGCAAGTATTGATTTCTTACCGAACGTGTTCATCGTTTGTACGCTTGACGCATTTTTGAGGGAAGTATAATGACTTGCTAGACAAACATCTTTGTAAGGAAAGATATAAGTACGTAAAAGGTCGAGTCAACACGTTCGATGTGTTGATGGTACAATAACTGGCATAAAATTATAAATGCCTAAAATATCTATCTTTGGTATACCAACCAACCTTTTCCAACCAGACGGTTTATAGGACTGACCATTGCTAATAAATTTGCTTCCTTCGATTTTTTTATTCATTTAAGATCAGTAGTGAACCAGTCTATACCAACCTTTTCGAACCGGACGGTTTATAGAGGTGACCTTTGCCAATTAAATTTGCTTCCTCAATTTCTTTCATTCATATAAAGTTCGATAAGCGACGTAAACTTCAACCTTTTCCGACCAATCGGTTTATAGAGGTCACCTTCACCATGTATTAAGGTACAACAAAATGCAGAGTCAAAAAGAAATTCCCGCTCTAAATCTATTTCTTTTTTCTCCGAATGGTATATTTTTGTTTCTTGTTCAGCTGTCTAAGTGTATGCATGCAGTTCTGCATATCCATAGAGCACAAACGTGACCATTTAYACGAGATGATTAAAAAAGGTGATTTGTATCTTTGTGGGATTATCGCACGTCAAAACATTCGGCATTTCCCACAATTATACCTGTATTATGTATCCGCAAGGAGTGTAGTATTTCAGACATTTTCTTAAAACTATGCAAGATTTGAAAACGAAAATGCCCCATCTCTCTCAAATGGCTTCCAGTAATGTCCCATTACTCTCGAATGGTTTCCTGTAATGTACAATTAAACTCAAATTATTTCCAGTAATGTCCCATTACTATTAAATGGCTTCCAACCAATCAGAAGAGGAAAGATACATTCCATTCATTTCGAAAGCCATTTTAGAGTCAAAGTGCTGTAAGTTTTCCGTTCAAACAAAATACTTCTATATCTATCSTAATATCTACCTTGGGCTACAAAAAGTCGCGTCGGAAACATATTTTTTCTAAAGCTAATTCTTATGTTTCATATTTATGAATACTGTATACAAGAACAAAATACGATCTTTTCTTTCATCTTATGTTGTCGAAATTTATGGGAGGCACAATACTAACCATATAATTGCAATAATAACCAGAGGGGAAAAATGGATTTTCTTTAAAAAAAAAATTCTGCACAGGTATTTTGGCAGGCTGTTTTCTTTGGCGACTCTATTTTTTTTTCTTCTCTAGTCTTTCACTACTCTTTCATAAATCCTCTCAACTGAGTTGCTGGAAAAGTTCTTCGGAAATTAATCTTTAAATATTCATTGAAAATTATTTAGATTAGCTGAAAAATCAAATAAATAAATGTAATAAAATAAAAAATGAAAAGATTTTTTWATCATTTTTAGGCGCAAATTTCGCATAATCTGATAATCCATCATTCCCGCCTACACACACTTTCTTTCTTTTTGCCTTTTTTATTCGTACGTTCGTTTGTTTTTCTGTCTTTCTCTCTCTCTCTTTCTTTCTTTCTTTCCTTCCTTCCTCTTATCTCCCTCTCTCTCTCTTTGTCGTGTGTATTTGCGTTTGAAATTTTGTGAGTTTGACCAGAAATTAGGACGAGCATGTTGGATTCCCATTTTGTATTCTATAATGCACATTTATGAAAGCCCGCTCTAACCATTTGGTCTTCCTATCATGCGACCAAATGCATTCTATTAATACCAGAATCCATTCCTATCTAAATAAAAAGATGTGTCAATAAAAATCAGTCGTGCATTCTTTTAGAGCCGTCTCTAAGGTATTATACAAGAAAAGAGTAGCCTGCGTGCATCCTTACAAAAACTGTTGGTTAGGTTTCAACAGTTTGTGTTCGGATGCACGCAGGCTAGAAAAAAGGTACAGACTATATTGCGTAGTGACGTAAAAGGGTTTCTCATTTTTAGATCAACAGACTATACATACGTACACTTCTAAAAATATCTAACTACTATCTTCTCAGCTCCCGTCACTCCATGCTTCTTGCACGACAACTCGCGTCGCGTTGGTATCATAGTTTATCATTGATACAGTTTTGTTCTATTAGAATTCACATTCATGTCAAACAAATCTTTAAGGCGCACGTCTTGTTTCAGTCTAAAAATATATCCTTTGAATTCCATCGCATTCAGTCAATGATCTACTTACGATAAACGATACACTAGCTTAGGAATTGTTGTAGGGTTTGATACAGATCATATATTAAGCTCTATTCAGTTTTTACTGAATCTCTTTTATTAATAGCTAAAAAGTAATTGTGCACGTGGCATCTGATAAACATCCTTTCTTTTTTCCATCCCTTTCTGCCTATTTTTATTATTCTAGTATCATGGATACATGTCAGCTACATTATTATCGCATCTAGTTGAATCACGTTCTGCATGTGGTCAGTGCTTTAGGGGGTTTGCGGGGATCCATTGAAGTCTAGTTGGTATTCTGAAACTTCCTGTTGTCACGTGCACTATCACTATATGTTTTTCTTCCTTTCATTATTATTATTAACTACTGATGATACGTATTGTGTATATTGTATATCACCCTATCTTGTACTACTGATGATACCTATTGTGTATAGTGTTCTCATAT